CATATATGAAGCTCACAAGCTCAGTTTGGCCAAACTACAATACGGATAACAAAGTTTGCTGTTTCAAACTTATTGTTACAGTTATTATTGTAGCCAAAAGCACATCATAAAGTCTGCTCAATCAGTTGAGACTTTTAACCCATAACACTTTTGTTTACATCTGTTCGATGTCAAATATGTCAGGCTATTTTCACATCTAGTCCACACCAGAGTTAAATGAGTGCATGCAAATTTCAGTTTTATTATTCATCAATTTCACCTTATCTGTAAGCTCAAGCTTATTTCTGGTAGGAAGATAATAGTGTAACATTCTGACAAAAATGCTTGATTTGTGGTTAACTAACCCAAACTATTAATAATATAATTTAGAAATAAAAATAACAATAATGCTGAAAGTCCCATGTTGCATCTAAAGACATTACACATTATGGTTTTATTTTATACTACTGACACTGGCCAAACAATTAACAATACAAAACACAAGCTACTGCAGAGGCAACTCATATAGTGCAATAACACAGCATTTAAATATGTTATTTTAGTAAAATAATCACACTACACAATCACAACATTCGACTTTCTTAAAAAACACTAAGATGTTTTGTTTATTTCACATTTTATACCCTCCAGCTGTGGTAATTTTAACATTATATAAAGTGTGGCCAGTAGGGGGGAGCAGCACGCTAACTGCTCGTCCTCAAACTCCACCGAGAGCACAGCTATTGGCTCACGAGCTGTTGAATGCTGTCGTTTTATTGGCTCACTATCAAAACATCTGCATGAATGAGTGCTTGCTTCATGTATATGATATGTAAATGAGGTGCTGGTAGGCTAGTGCTTGATTTCACACACTGAAGCTGTTTCATCATTTGCTCTAAAATCTCCACTCGTTTCCACGTTGTATGAAAGTTTCATGAATCACATGCAGAGTAGTTTGTATGCCATTGAGGGCTGTAAAATCTGTGCTATTTATTTTATAACTTAGATGAACAATGGCCATTATGATTAGTTAGAGGGCCCATTTGAATAGTGCAGCCTTCTGGTATTAGTATCACAAAGGCTAATATCGCAATAACGATTAACAGTTGATACACTGTGCAGCCCTTGCAGCTCAGCGACAGAAGCAGTCATTGCTTTGCACTTTCTGAGAAGTAAAGTGGAGCATGAGGGAAAAGTGTCCTCTAGCTCTCCGCAGACTGACCCTGAGGTTCCTGCCTGATTCTGGAGCAGGAGATTGGCCAGTGGAGCAGAAAGGAGCCGGTGCCACATTAATTAGGCACTGCCTTGTTCCATGCTCCACTCTGGTGCTCTGATGGCTCCTGAAGCCGACAGCCGGGCCGTTCCACTGAGAGCAAGAGAGCCGTGTGTACTCCATATCACATATCACTATAATACAACAATAAACCACATACGCTCTGGAGCTGCTTACAGAGAACAGGCCTTTCAATAGCATTATGTCAAGATTCATCTGCCATCTGTGAAATCTCCCTCATGAAAAGAGATTGCAGTTACTCAGTGAGATGAACTTCAGTGATGATAGAGTGATTCACTTGCTAAGCAAAAAGCGCACAAAGTGAGCTGATGCTTTGGTGGCACCAAGCTGATCTGACAGTGAGAAGATGCTCTAAGAACAAAATACAAACTCAGAAGCCCTAGTGCTGGGAGATATAACGCATTTACCACTATGTCAGTACTGGTATCACAAAACTATAATGATATTGATAGTTACTTAGTTAATTCAATTGCAAAGAAGTTCACCTCTGTGGTGAAAGCAGTCATACTTTTGGCAGTCACCTATAGATTATCCATCAAAGCTTTAATTGTTAAAGTCAGCGTAAAATGCATTTTCCCTCCAAACCGTGACATAAAGTTGTATGCACACAAAGTGTGAAAACAAATGACAAGCTTTGTTGATTTTCTAAGTTAAAGTAAGTTAGCACATCCTCTGCAGGGAACATATTTAAATATCAATATTTGTATGTATAGGTTCATTTTAGTGCACAATTTCTATTAAGTTTAGCTTAATTTAGTTAAACATTTGGGAAAAAAAAGTATAAAATATAAAATGTGCCATAAGTTTTGCCATATATGACGTTTTATTGTTAAATTCAGCAAATAAATATTGCTTGCGCATTAAAATACGCACAAGTGTGTTCCACAACCCTGGATCTGGAGGACTGGTGTCCAGAAGAGTTTGGTGATTTACCTGCTCAAACACACCTGATTACACTTATCTGTTTATTGCCAGGTTTAGTGGGTGTGTTAGTTTAGGGAAACCTCCAGACTTTGCTGGACACAGGCCCTACAGGACTGGACTAACCCCCCTGCTGTAGGGGATGTGTTAAGTCATTTTCACTTAGGAAATCAACACATGACAAACATGTTATTTGATTAGAAGTGCCCAAACCTTTGCACACAACTGTATTTCCAAAGGAAACATGCTAAAAAGGAGGATCTCTGAGCTATCTTAGTGTTTCATTTGATAATAGGTGGGGGTGGTGGGGGGCTGAAACACAATATCATTGGTTAATATTTTTTTGGTCAAAAGACGTTTTAGAGGCAGGCAAAATTAAATACACTTCAATTAAAGAGTGCAGGAAAACAAGAACTCTGATGTGGTGTCTGGTGAGATATCTTGGTTTAGGATTAGGCTTAGATTTTGGGTTATGGTAATGGTGAGGTTTAGGGTGAAGGGATGTAGATGATCAAAAATTATCAAATTTGAATCTTTTTCATATAGATTATTTTGCTAAAAAAAAACATAAGAAATTAAGAAATTAGAAATTAAGATATTTCTTCCATCTAGGAATAATAGTTTTGGAGAGATAAGGACTATCCCTAATCAATCCTACCAGACATGGCAGAAGCTGATGGTACAGGAGTTGGAACTGGTTATGTCCATCTTCATATAACTGGGTAAAAGGTGACCATTCGGGAACCTTCAAGGCCTTGGGACTGCCCGAAAGCGATTCTTGCTGATGTCATTAAAATGTGCATGGTGGATACTATCTTTGTTAACTAAATCTCACCAATGACACTGTGTTCAGATTTGTTTCAGACTCAACCCAAGTCTGCATTATAATAGTTTTGATCTGTAATGATGAATCAGTAATTGTATATGTAGATTGTCTATTTAAAATATAATTTGCATAAAGCTATAACTGCTTTGATCCAGTGATGTGTTAGAGGGGGAAGACACCTGCGGGCGCTCTCACCCCTCTCTCTGTCTCTCTCTGTCTCTATTTCTCTCTCTCTGTCTCTCTTTCTCTCTCTCTCTCTCTCTCTCTCTCTCTCTCTCTTAGATTTTAGTCTGCTGATTTTCTTTAAGCTTTTTGTGTGTGAGGCATTTTTCTCTGTTTTTATCAATTCTTCTAATTATGTTTCCGTTTACATGTTCCTGTGATTCCAAAAAAAAACATTTTTCAATGTTTAGTACAAAGAAACATCTCTCTGACTGACCTGCTGATTAATTTTATAAATCCATCCACTCTAATGTCCCTGTTATAACATACTACCCTTATAATGTAGCTCACTGTGAGGAAATTTTACCTAATGCTACCTGCTAATATCTCATTGTAAGTGCTCTAATGGTGTGTGAATTGAGGCATGTCTAAGCATTAAATGCCTCTTAAGTGACAAGATGCCCCTCTCTCACAGATTAACTTCTGATGTCCACCTACTCTATTCTCCATGTGCTGTCACGTTTGTAAAAGCATAACTTTGTACATATGTACTTCTTCTCTCTCATTTGAAGACACTTGTTTTTTTTAGACAGCATTGCTAATGCTACTTGTTTGAAGCAGCTCCATGCTTGTGTAAATGGAGATGTGTCTATATGTTAAATGTGTTAACTGTGTTAAAGCACAAACACAAAGCTCTCTGATTGATTAACGGATTAACTGCAGACATTCATCTAGTGCCACCTTAATGACACACACAATATGGCCTGGCTCTTCATAAGGAATCTGGTATACTCTTAAAAATAAAGGTGCCAAACAGGGTTCTTTGGAGTGATGTCATTAAAGAAACACCTTCCCTCAAGAACCTTTCCAATGAGTGGTTTCAGTAAGTTAAAAAATCAGTAAACCAAAATTGGTTCTTTTACAGCACTGTGCAAAAGTCAGAGACCACCCTTCATTAATGTAATTCCAGTCAAAACAGCCATTAAGTACAAGTTAGTCATTTTTCAGAGCAAGAAAAAAGAACAGAAAACAGACATTTAACAGAGAATTCCAAAGAAGTCTAAACACCTAAATATAATGCCATTTTTTCAGTATTAATTGTGTCCACACTGTGCATTCATTACAACTTCCATTTTTTTCAGAAGACTTGCTTTCGGTCTTTCCAAAAAATCTGCACGGATATTTTTCCACACCTCCAAAGTTTAGTCACAGAAGCTAGTTTCATTTTCTGTTTCTCACAATCCATGTAATGCCAAACACATTCAGTGATGTTGAGATCTGGGCTTTAAGGTGGTCAGTCTATTGTTCTGAGAACACCAGCAGCTTCTTTGTTTGATTTGCAAATTTTCTTGTCTTTTATTTCTTTTTACCAGTAACAGCTTCTTGGCAGCTACACATCCTTTCAGACCCATAGTGTTGTGTTGTCTGTGTCCTACAGTGGAAGGATGGACAGAAACACCTGTGGATTTTTGCTGATTTAAAGCAAGAGTGGAGCTTGATTTTCTCCTCTCTCTCAAAGATGAAAGCTTTAAGTACCATTTATCAGATAGTGACAGTCTTGATGGTCTACCAGGTCTTGCACGGTTGTTAGGAGTCCCATTTTCTTTTAAGACATTTTTTGTAACTTTAGTAAACTCCTGTCTTTTCACTTATTTTCCATACTTTCCCCTGGATCATTTTATATTTCATCTCCTGAAAAATGTATAACTTGGCTGTGTGGAAATTAAATAAATGGGTGGTCTCTGACATTTGCACAGTACTGTACATTTAAACAGATCTGTAGCTATACGCATCTGTGTCTGTTTTTAAACATCTCACCAGAACTCGGGGAATCCATGCAGAAACAGCATAAGCGGCTTGCCCCTCTCGCCTGCAGCTACATAATGAAATCTGAGTCCAGACTCCTGCAACCACAAAGAAAAAAAACAGCCACTGTTAAGATTCACAGCGAATGTAGTGTGTATGCCATTGACTGTCCAGACCCATTCACCAAAGGAGCACTTACTGTCCATCCTGATATAAAGTTTATTCTTTCACTACTGCCTGTTTTATAGAGCTATAAACTAACCAGTGAAATAGTCCTGTATACAGGCCGTATCAAAGCCATATCTTTTATTGACATTTATGGGTAATTTTATGGCAGTTTCATTGATTATATGGCTGAGAGAAAATAGCTTGACTGGTACTGTCCTTACTTAAAAGTGTTCTCAATGGGCAAAGTCTTTAAAAACAAAACAACTCAGCATGTCTGCACGGGATTAGCAAGGACATGGAATGTTATAACATGCTGGTGAAGACTTTTGTATAGCACCCTGAATCAATGTGAGAATGAATTACTCAGATCAGCTGTTCACCTGACTCGTATGCACGTGAATGCATTGCAGAGGCTGCTGATAAACAACCAGAAAGGCAGATTTGTAAAGCATAAAATAAGCCTGCAGGCAAACTACCCAGCATAGAAAATGTTCTATGTTTATCTCCATATATCTATATATGGAGGCAATGAGCCTGCAAGTAAACTGCCCATCATGCAAAACATGCAAAAAGTTTATTATACGCTATATTTCCAAAAGCAACGAGACACCCCTTCTAATTGGCGAATTCAGCTACTTTAGGGGGCACCCACTGCTGACATAAGGGTTCAATTGCACGCACACAGCTTGTATAATCTCCATAGAAAAGCATGAACCAACAGAATGGGATGCTCTGGATCAGCCACACATGAGCCTAAGATCACCAATGCCCGATACCAAGCACCAGACAGAGAAGTATAAAACCCTCACCATTGTGAAGCAGTGGAACTATGTTCTCTGGAGTGATATGGGGGCGGGGGTGTTGTGATCCAGAACTGATCATCCAGCATCAGTACCTGACCTCACTAATGCTGTTGTGGATTGAGTGCTATCAAATCCTCACAGCAATGTTGCAAAATCATGGTTGAGCAGCTGTTCTGGACATTACAGTGTATGTTTTAAATTTGGCAATTGCTATTGTGTGTGAAGCAAGTCATGACACAGTTACGCAACACCTACATCACTTGAACTAATTACTTAGTATATAGTTAAAAAAAATAAAATAATAATATTTATACATATGACCGATGTGAGAACAAAACTTTGTATCTCCAAAATTATAATTTTACAGGGGAAGAAAAAAACGTTCTTAACCTGTAATGGACGTTAATGTAACAAGATTTTTTTCCAAGTAATTTTAAACCGTTTTTACTGGTCCGTTCAACGTGAAAGTTTAACACAATACAAAGGGTAACTAAAGATTTCAAATTATGCAGAATAAATAAATTAATTAAATAAATAAATAATATAATAAAATTACTAAAATTTATAACCTTGCCAGCCTCATACACTAAAAAAAGTGCAGCAACGAATGTACTTGAATAAATAAACTAGTTTACAACACAACAGTTGCCAAAAGCAAGAAAACTACAAGACAGAATAAGTGATGTAATATCCTTTATTCCTGTTGAAATGAGGTATATATTTGAATCAAGTAAATTCACTGCTTGACTTTTTTCAGTGTGGGTGCACGCTGCAAAAAAAACCGCCCCAAAATACGGGACTTATTTGTGCTGCATGCAAAGTGATCTCGCTTGAAGAGCAGCGGAGGCCCTTTTTCAGCTAAAATCTCCTAAAGCTTCAGAAAAGCTCTGAGTTCTGCGTGCACGTCGCTGTTATTCGCCACCGCGCATGCACGCGCCCTGCCTGTCTTACCTTTATCCTCACGTAGCAGTGCGTTCCCAAGGACGTGTCGTTCAGACATGAAGGTGGCGTCTCGCGCACTGACCACTGAAAGGTGCTGGAGGGTCGCAGCAAGATGTTCCACCAGAGTCTGAGCAGTGCGGTGGCCGTGCACAGGGCGCAGTAGCCGTAGACGAAAGCCCAGTAGCCCAGCAGCCTGAGCTTCAGCGCGAGCCAGACAGAGAGCAGCAGCAAGTTGTGCAGCAGCCTCGCCATCTTTACATTACTGCGCGAGCGCTTGTGATCTCTGCTAGTGTTGCTGTTGTTCTCTTGTTTTTTAGCGCGTGTCGTGATAGATGCGAGCCTGCATGGTAGTGATGCTGCCCTGATGGAGGCTCTCTGCTCCGCTCCGCTTTCCTGCGTGTGCTGGGAGGATCCCTGTGTGTGTGTGTGTGTGTGTGTGTAGGTGCGCACACACACACACACACACATTGTGCGCACGGCAGCTTAGGCGAGGCTCAATGCGGGACACAGAGATAGAAGCTCAAACCGCAAGGTGTTGCTGCACCTTAGACTAAACCGTTATGAGTTCTTGGTATGTTTTTTTATTACAAATAATGAAAACAACACCAAGTTTTATAGATGCATTAAAACTGTCTTTGTTTCTCAATATGGGTGAACTGCTCTGAATCAGGAGATGGTCGTTTTATTAGGTAAACCTACCTTGTATCTACTCTCTTTGTCCATTTTGTCAGGTCAATTTACTATACTATATATTTACTATGTCACTATATATTTGCACTTGGTAGGGCTACAATAACAGACTGTAAACAATTACTGTAGTCCATCTGTTTCTCTGTGTAGTTTGTTAGCCCCCTTTTATCCTGTTCTTCAAAGGTAAGGACCACCACAGAGCAGATCTTATTTAGGTGGTTGGATCATTCTCAGCAGTGCAGTGACACTGACGTGGTGGTAGCGTGTTCGTGTGTGCTGTGCTGGTATGAGTGGGTCAGACACAGCAGTACTGTGCAGCAACAGATGAGCTACTGTCTCTGACTTTACATCTACAAGGTGGACCAACAGGGCAGGTGTGTCTAATAGAGTAGACAGTGAGTGGACACAGTGTTTAATAACTTCAGCAGCCCTGCTGTGTCTGATCCATTCGTCTCAGCACAACACACTAACACACCACCACCAAGTCAGTGTCACTGCAGTGCTGAGATTGATCCACCACCCAAAATAATACCTGCTCTGTGGTGGTTCTGTGGGGGTCCTGAAGAACAGAGTGAAAGAGGGTGAACTAAATATGCAGAGAAACAGATGGACTACAGTCTGTAATTGTAGAACTACAAAGTGCTCCTATAAGGTAAGTGGAGCTGATAAAATGGACAAAAAGTGTAGATACAAGGTGTTCCTAATAAAGTGACCAGTGAGTGTACACCGCAAGTCATCAGTTACTATTTAGTATAAATTTTATTATATACTTATATATCACTGCTGTTGAAAAACAACTTAAGTATCCAGTCCAAGTTACATTGTGTAAAGGCAGTATTCAGAATACAGTTACCTTTTACGTTTTTAGGAGAAAACATTTAGAACACTCCCCTACTGAACTTATCTGTACCATCTGTTAAAAGAAAACGGCATCAGTGCTTGTTTATTTTAAAATCAGCACACGCCGTGTATAGACGTACTCTAAACAATAGCTCAAATAACGGCCTCTTTACAAACACTCAAGTTCTTGTTAAAGCTGGAGTAGACTGATAAATCAATGTGATGAACCACAGCTGTAATCTCACTGTTCTCCTTTGAGGGATGACAAAACTGAGCAGCCTCCTCAGTATTACAGGAGTGATAAGCTTAGTGTTGTTGTTGTACTGGACACTAGCTGAAAATCACATATCTGCCTGCTTTATAATGAAATTTGCAAGATTTTGTTATTGGATGTGGTGAATTGTTTGTTTAATTCATGAGGCGGCAGTGGGATTATGGGATCAGCAGTGGACTGAAGCAGGCGATATTACTATATCAACAGAATTACATGAAGAAAACTACCAGCCAGGCCTTATCAAACTGACCATTGATAAAGAGGCTAACAAAACCTGTGCATCAGCAGATGAGCTCTAAAACCAGCGAGGTGGAGCTACAAATAGATTTCTAATATAGCGATCAGTAAGTCATCCTTCACCATGTTCTCCGCAAGTGCACACAGGGAAAGATTAATGACTGGGCCACTGAAGCCAGTGTGCAAGGACCTCTGACTGACAGGATTGGATTGGGCGACCACAAGGCTCAAGATAGGTAAATATACTAAGGACAATCCACTGATGCAAACAAAAGAACATAACAAACAGCCCTTGAATTTGTACAAATGAAATTAAATAAAGGAAGAAAAGTTTTCATTTATTAGTGATTCATGGGATGTTGTTGTTGCCGTTTAAAAGTTTTACACCAAAATCTTCAAATCATACACAAACCTTGTTACGATGACACAATAGATATTTTCACATTAATAAGAATAAATTCATTCAATTTAAAAATCAATAGTTCAAACTGCTTTAGAACATTATAGTGAATTATATGCTTCAATAATGCACAGAAAAAAAACCTTCATGTCGTAGTACAAGTAGAGATTTTTCCAGGTCTTCATGTCAACAATTATTGTTTTATATAGTTGAACATGATTGTGTATTAAACAAAAGATATACCCTGCACCATATTATGAACTACATGGGCAGTAGTAATTGTTATACCGTCGGAATACGTAATGACAAAACACAAAATTGCTAAATTTGATGTACTGGAACCACCGAAAACACTGCCACTATGTTGCCAGTTGGAAAATCGCAAACTGATCAAAAAGTACAAATAGACTATGTTACTGGCTTGTCATGTGTTAGCTGGGAAATTGCTCATAGTGGACAAAAACACAAACATGAAATACTGTAATCTCAATTTTCAGGTCTTTATTTTTTTATTTCGCATAATTGCTGAAGTGTGGGGCCTCCAAAATATGGAGTTAATTTTGTGTCAAAAGTTTCAAAACCAATTATAAAATCCACAAGCAAAATGTTAAGTATAACAATGTCCATAATATGTTGCAAATACAATTAATGAGAGTTAAATCAGACTTCATTGTTCAAAAAGATTTCTATTGATTTTCACTAATTATTATATAAATGTATTTGTCATTTTGTATGTTTTTGCTTTCATTTCTTTATATTTGCTGGTTTTGCTAAAATCTGTTTGCTTCTGGAATCGCTCTTTTGCTTCAGAAATTTTTTTTTTTACCTCTGACTTTTGCTGCTTTTTAAAAATGGGGCAGGTCTTAGAGGAGGTCGTTCACCTGTACTTTCTACTGATCAACTGATTTAGAGTGACAGGTCTTCTGAGCACGTAGCCACGCCTGCTCTGAGAGCCGTGATCTTCCTCGAACATGGTGGAGCACTTCGTACTGAGTGATTCACCAAACCGTTTTTAAGAAGAATTTTTTTCTTAAAACCCACTTACACAGTTTTACAAAGATTCTGAAATTTACCCATGTTTTCTTATTTTGGATTTGTTCTTAGGTAAGAACAGAATCTACGCACACTCATAAGCACAAAGGTGCCAACAATTCTGCGCTTTAAGAACACGTCATGAATCTGATGAATCTGAGGCTTTTTCTTAGGACCTATCTCAAGAACTAATTTAAGAAAGAACTTTGGAGGATAGTGACTGAGACTCATTGTTGGTCATATTTATTGATGTAACACACATCATCAAGCTGTGTGAAATATATATTTTGGAAACCAAAGCATTTAAGTAAGCTTAGCTGTTGAATGAAATTTTCATCATCTTTCGAGGCCTAACTAGGTGAGCTTTGCAGCTGTTTAAATCAGTGTTTATTAACCCTGCTTCTGATGACTTGCAGTTCCACATAGTTTCAGCAATTCCATACCTAACATTAATTCTGGTTAAAACTGGTTATTGAGCTGTTCATGAGCTGATCAGGTGTGTTGGATCAGTGAATTGTTGAATCTGTGGGTCGACGTTCATTCATAAACAACTAAGTTTATATTAGTCAAAGCCCAAAATAACAATTATTTATTTGTAGAGAGATCGAAACATGACCCATAAACGTGTTACTTTAACAATTTAAAAGAACTTGACAAACATTGTTCATAATATCAGATATGACACTGGCTACAGGGCTATGTGTTCAAAAGATCTGTCACATTAAATCAGTTGACTAATAGAAAGTGTAAGTGAAGGCCCTCTTGTAAGACCTGCCCCCGTTAAAAAGTGCCAAAAGTCAGAAGCAAAAGAGCGATTCCAGAAACAAAAAATGTATCAGCAAAATCAGCAAGTAGAAAAAATTGAAGGAAAAACTGGCAAAATGAGTAATAAATTTATACCTGAATGAGCAAAAATGAGTAGAGATCTTTTTGAAAAAGCAAGTTTGATTTCACTCTAATTATTAGTATTTGCAACAAATTTTTGACATTTTGATACTTAATATTTGCTTGTGGATTTTATAAATTGTTTTGAAACTATTGGCACAAAATTAACTCCATACCAAAGGCTCGTGCTCAGGAACCTCAAGACCGTAAGTGGATGAGTGCATACGTGGCAGACAGCAAGATAACAGTTCAGGCCTGAATGCTTGAACCCTAGAGTATGGGCATCCGGTAGGTCTGTTATGCTGTGGGGGCCTTTTTCTGGGATGACTTGGGTCCACTTGTTCCATTAGATCAGGGTGTTAACAGTCTCACCAGTTCAGGCAGCAAACCAGTTTTCCAACCAAGCCAGAGCACACCTAACACAACTAATCAGTTATTTGAAGATGGAGTCAAACCAATTAAACAAGGGGTCTCAGGTGTGCTTTTGCTTGATTGGAATGAAAACCTGCAGTGCATAGGACTGGTGACCCCTGCATTAAAGGAGAGGGTCAGTGCAAATCAATGCAAATATTTCTTTCATGAAGGGTGTGGCCTTTTCCAGGATGACAATACCCTGTCACAAAGGGTCACTGTATGGTTTGATAAGTGTGAAAATGATGTAAATCATATGTTACAGCCTTTGCAGTCATCAGATCTCAACTCAGCTGAACACCTGTGGGACATATTGGACTGCTGTGTTAGACAGCGCTCCCCACCAACACCATCAAAATTACTATGGAGTGAATATCTTTTGGAAGAATGACGTGACTTCATTATGTACAGCTCCAAAGACCTGTAGAATCTATGCCAAGGTGGACTGAACCTGTTCTGGCAACTTGTGGTGGGCCAACACCTTACCATGACACTTTATGTTGGTGTGTCTGTAGCTGATTCATGTCATGTCAAGGCACTCAATATGAAAATCATATTTGCCTGCCAGTGATTTAACCAGCAGAATTATGATGCTGAGTGTAGTCTTGTATTCTTTTGCCCAAGCATTTTGCTAATAATGGAGATCTATCACTTGAGTGCCCCTGCAGCACTAGTCTAATTGCACGAGGAAGGATATGATGGTATTGACCTGGAAAAAGACACAAATGCGCACAGAGGGTGAGTTACATCACACACGCATTCACATCCCATCACAATCATATGGGATTTATTCGTGGTATATAAATAAATCCCATATAAGTCCCAAAGGATCTGAAAATGATGAAGTAAACAAATATGTTTTTGCCAGTAAAACCACTATGTAACATTGGATTATGTAACAATACAGAAGAAAACTTGTTACAAAGTTATTAATATCTTGTTAATATCAACATATTGTCTATTTGTATGTAGTCTAATAACTGCCCAGATAAATGGCTTTACATATGGAGCATTCTACCAAATTAGTTCAAACTGCAGTCCCATAGTAAAAAAAAATAATAATAATAAAAACAAGGCAATTCAGATCTATGATATTTACAAGGATTATATTATTATCTATTTAAACCCAAGGTATTGATTAAGTAAAAGTAATAGTAAAAGGCTAAATATATACAAAATCTTAATTTTGTATTTTCATAATAAATTATATACAAAGATTTAGATTTATCATGAGTTTAATTTTAAATTAAAAAAAAATCACTATTCAAAAAATACTGTCATATATTTCTGTCATTACCAAATCACACAGAGTTTTAGTCCACAGGTGTAGCCTTATTTAGTCACACCATTAGCATTTTAGAGCAGGAAGTGATACTACATCCCTGACCCTCATAGCCACAGGGTGAATATTTAGATCTCATTGTTTTAAAGTAAATGTCTGAAAAGTCTTATAATTAGTGTATAATTGTAATTATACTTAAAAACCTTCTGCAATTAAGTAAACTTTTTCATGTTTAAAGAAAAATACCATTTTATGTATGTGTGAAATTGTTTAATGCAGTGTTTGCTAGTCATGTACTGTCTGGTGTCATTGAGTTACACTCAAAATTAGCTAAGATGGAATCAGTCACTACCAAAACATTTGGTAAAGTTTTGGAAGTGTTATTGTTGTTTTGTTAGTCACAAAATGGAATGTTCAATCACATGTTTTAATAAAATAAACAATAAAATATAGGGTCACTCAAACACTCAAAGCAAAAGGACTAGTCTAAGTCAGTTAAAATATTATATAAGAAAGAAATATACACTGCTCAAAAAAATAAAGGGAACACTCAAATAACACATCCTAGATCTGAATGAATGAAATATTCTCATTGAATACTTTGTTCTGTACAAAGTTGAATGTGCTGACAACAAAATCACACAAAAATCATCAATGGAAATCAAATTTATTAACCAATGGAGGCCTGGATTTGGAGTCACACACAAAATTAAAGTGGAAAAACACACTACAGGCTGATCCAACTTTGATGTAATGTTCTTAAAACAAGTCAAAATGAGGCTCAGTATTGTGTGTGGCCTCCATGTGCCTGTATGACCTCCCTCCAACGCCTGGGCATGCTCCTGATGAGGTGGCGGATGGTCTCCTGAGGGATCTCCTCCCAGACCTGTACTAAAGCATCCGCCAACTCCTGGACAGTCTGTGGTGCAACGTGACGTTGGTGGATGGAGCGAGACATGATGTCCCAGATGTGCTCAATCGGATTCAGGCCTGGGGAACGGGCGGGCCAGTCCATAGCTTCAATGCCTTCATCTTGCAGGAACTGCTGACACACTCCAGCCACATGAGGTCTAGCATTGTCCTGCATTAGGAGGAACCCAGGGCCAACCGCACCAGCATATGGTCTCACAAGGGGTCTGAGGATCTCATCTCGGTACCTAATGGCAGTCAGGCTACCTCTGGCGAGCACATGGAGGGCTGTGCGGCCCTCCAAAGAAATGCCACCCCACACCATTACTGACCCACTGCCAAACCGGTCGTGCTGAAGGATGTTGCAGGCAGCAGATCGCTCTCCACGGCGTCTCCAGACTCTGTCACGTCTGTCACATGTGCCCAGTGGCGAATTTGCCAATCCTGGTGTTCTCTAGCAAATGCCAAGCATCCTGCACGGTGTTGGGCTGTGAGCACAACCCCCATCTGTGGACGTCGGGCCCTCATACCATCCTCAAGGAGTCGGTTTCTAACCATTTGTGCAGACACATGCACATTTGTGGCCTCCTGGAGACCATTTGTGGCCTTGCCGGGCTCTGGCAGTGCTCCTCCTGTTCCTCCTTGCACAAAGGCGGAGGTGGCGGTCCTGCTGCTGGGTTGTTGCCCTCCTACGGCCTCCTCCACGTCTCCTGGTGTACTGGCCTGTCTCCTGGTAGCGCCTCCAGGCTCTGGACACTACGCTGACAGACACAGCAAACCTTCTTGCCACAGCTCGCTTGATGTGCCATCCTGGATGAGCTGCACTACCTGAGCCACTCATGTGGGTTGTAGAGTCCGTCTCATGCTACCACGAGTGTGAAAGCACCACCAACATTCAAAAGTGACCAAAACATCAGCCAGAAAGCATAGGTACTGAGAAGTGGTCTGTGGTCCCCACCTGCAGAACCACTCCTTTATTGAGTGTGTCTTGCTAATCGCCAATGATTTCCACCTGTTGTCTATTCCATTTGCACAACAGCATGTAAAATTGATTGTCAATCAGTGTTGCTTCCTAAGTGGACAGTTTGATTTCACAGAAGTTTGATTTACTTGGAGTTATATTGTGTTGTTTAAGTGTTCCCTTTATTTTTTTGAGCAGTGTATATATGTACATGTATACACTCACTCACACACACACACACACACACTCACACACACACACACACACACACACACACACACACATATATATATATATATATATATATATATATATATATATATATATAGCAGGGCCTGGCAAGCGTTCCATCATAGAAACCACAATGAATTCTTTATTTTATCAGAGAGTGCTGGAGGAAAATATGAGACCATATGTCCAAAAAGTGAAGCTGAAGCGGAGGTGGACCAACATGACAATGACCCAAAACATTCCAGTTATTCCACCAAAGAATGGCTCAAAAGAAAGAAATGTTCTGGAATGACCATGTCAAAGCCTGGATCTTAATCCTACTGAGATGCTGTGGTGTGATTTAAAACATGCATGGAGCAGTGGGAAAAACTTTCTTCGAGTCAATGTCAGTAGATTGTTATAGGAAACATCTAACTAAGGTTATTTCAGCCAAAGGGGGAAATAGCAGCTATAAGGTGTCCTAACATTTTCCCCAGTAGAGATTGGCAGACAGACAGACAGACATGTACATTCACACACACACTCACACCTAGGGGCAATTTGGCATGTCCAATTGGCCTGATTGCATGTCTTTGGACTGTGGGAGGAAACCCACGCAGACATGGGGAGAACATGCACATAGAAAGGACCCTGGTTACCTGGCTGGGAATCTAACCCAGGCAATCTTTTTCATTTATTTGTTAAATAAATGATAGTCAAATTTTCATTGTTTTTGCATAGGTGATACAATTACATTACTTTTATCTATTGGTATTGTTTGAAAGAAAATTAAATATTGATGTCAATATTTCTTAATAAAGAACTGTTTCATATACATTATATACTGTATACCCACATATATAGACATTTCGGTGTCACTGCTGGACTGAGAATAATCTACCAACCGACAATCCGTGACTGTAGAACTACAAAGTGCTCCTATACGGTGAGTGGAGCTGATAAAATGGGTAATGAGTGTAGAAACATATATCCCCCAGATGCTATCTAAAAGTACTTGCATTGTTTCTTACAGCTCATCAGTCAATGCTTATTTGTTTCTCCCAGCCAAAACGCTCTGAGAATGATGCAGTGACCAGCCAGAAATGAAACTGTGAGTAATGACAAAAAGCCATGAGCCATTTTATGGGTTGTTAGACTGTCAAATGGGAATAGGAGGGAAAATTGCAGATTAAAAACTGCCACTTATTCATACATTGTTTTATTAACCCAAGAAATGAATACAAAAACAACCATTTAAATGAAAATACCTTTTTAATTGATTTAGCTTAACTTTGAAATAATACATTAGTTTTGCTTCCCTCATTTCTGTCGGGATAGTAAAGTGCTTGTGTGGGGAAGTGCATGTATGTGTGTGGGTGTGCGCGCAGAAGGTAAAGCGCTGCAGAATTGACTGTGACAGGCCCAGCACTGCACTGCGTCCTCTGAGCCCAGCCCCAGGCCTGACTAAAACTCAGCACAGGACAAGAAAAGCTGCTACCTTCAGGGACCTCCATGCCCAGTCTCTCAGACAGATTCACAATGTAATGGCACTGTTCTTCCAATAGGACATAGTAGAAAAAAAAACAAAACAAAAGAAAGCTTATATTCCACCTAAACAATTTTCATTAATAGAAAACTGACATCTGGCAAATCTATAACATCTGTCCTCTGAATAACAAATACTAATATAATTACTTTACTTATTAACATAAATCAAAATATTTCTTCCACATACATATTACTTTTACAAAAAAATAAAAAATAAAAAAAAATAAAACAGAAAACCTTGATAACATAAGACCATCAAAAATCTGCAAACTGGAGCACAGAGCATTTTTGTTTACTCACTGAATGAGGACAAACGTGAGAAACAGGAATTGAAGGCCATACAGAAGTAGCCACAACAGTTCTGTCGACAGCTAGCGTGAGAAGACCAGCGATATCTTAAACATACAGTAGATATATCTATAGAATGTGACAAATGATATGTTACAAAAACACTTCAGTACAAAAAATAGAAAACAAAAGATACAGAAGGTAACAGATGCAAGTAAAACATATATTTGAGGTGCAACTGACATTTTCTTCCATATTACCCTTCGTTTTAGTAAACTGCCCTTCACAAAGTAAGCAGTAAACTCAGTGCAGGTATTTTAGAACCAGAAAAAAAAAAAAATACAAAAAGAAAAAGAAAAAAAATAAAGGTGCATTGAACTCTGCTGACATCCTACGCTTTACAGTACTACCTTTCTTTTCTTCATTTTATGACAGCCACTTTAGTACAAATGTGCCAAAGTAAAATGAGGTTACTATATTGTAAGATTTTGCCCCTGGTGAAGTGCTATAAACCCGTTTCAGTCGCCAGGACTCGAACTCTTCAGAAAGGGGAGAGGAGACAGACTGCTTTGTTCACTGAACAGTAGCATTTTTTTTAAACATCAAAAAATGTTATGTTACAGCTGTCTCAGTCGAGGTTGTTCTCGAAGGTTGCCATGATGTCACTCTGCATGGTCATGTCGATGATTCCAGACATCTACGGACAGAGAAAGTGGAAATTCAAACCTGACCAACAGAACCCTTGAGCTTGGTTGCTAAGTAACAATGATCACTTTACTCGAAGCTGCTGGAACTCCTTTTCTGGTGAAAGAATTTCCAGCAGCTTCAAGTAAAGTGGTCATTGTTACTTATATAATTTCCAGTCAAAACTCCCATTAAGTGCAAGTTCATCATTTTCAGGAGATATTTCTGAGGAGGTTAGATTTAAAGATAATGCACTTGCACAGGGAAGGAAAGTCAAAGGAAATAAGTGGAAAAAAAAAACAGTTTCCAGAACAAGAGTTTGAAATGATTAAAAGAGAACACAGAAAATGGAACTCCTGACAATCGTGCAAGTTCTGGCAGACCACCAAAACTGTCATCAGATAAACGTTGAGTCTGAAAGGATGTGTAGCTGTCATCCTTTCATAGCTTTTGAGGGGGGTAAGGGGGAGGGAGGGGCAAGGGGGAGGGAGGGGCAAGCTTGCAAATCAAACAAAAGCTGCTGGTGTTCTCAGAACAATGTCCACCCCAGGATCCAGACCTCAGCATCATTGGAAGTGTTTGGGATTTCTTGGATTGTGAGAAGCAGAAAATGCAACCAACTTTTAAGATTGAACTTTTAAGGTGTGGAAAAATAACGCATATTTGTATGAAAAACTGAAAGCAAGTCTTCCAAAAAAACAAACAAAAAAAGTAAGCTGTAGTGATGGCAAAGTGAGGGCAAGCTACATACTAAAAATTGCATTGCTACACACAGTTGATCAGGTGTCTGTGTAATTTCTTGCTAAATGTGTTTCATGCTTTTTCCTGAAAAAAAAATTATACTAAATGGCTGTTTTGACAGGGAATTGATTAAATGAAGGGTGGTTACTGATATTGCATATTACTCTATTTGAAACAGTGCTTGTTAGCTTTTTTTCCCTTAGGTTTCAAAACTGTTGCATAAAACAAATGAAACACATGAGGATGTGTGTTACCGTGTTCCACTGCTTTTTTATAAACAATTTTAGAAAGTGAATAAAAAGCAAAGCAATTCAAAAATTTTAAAAATTACTTTGCTGTTCTCTGATATACCAACTCTGGTAGAACACTTTTCAAACAATCAGATCACATTGTCTGTACTAACAGTTGTACTACTAAGGTTAAACTACACCATCACTGCTTTTAAAACACACACACACACACACACACACACACACACACACACACACACACACACAATGAATAACTTACAGCTTCTCGTCTGCGTCTCTCCTGCTCTCTCTTGCGGGCCATTTCTCTCTCAGGGTCCACAGAGCATTGTGAAGGAGTGGGGGGTTCAAGGGCTTTTGGTGTATCTAAGATAGCTGCCATCAGGGGAAGCTCTGCAGACTCCACCTCCAGCTTTGAGGCCTGGCTCTCCAGTTTGGACTTAGCAAGCTGCTGTGTCAGACTATGAATTATTTAAAGAGCACCATCATTACATTCATAACACACTGCTGAACTTGCTATAACACAATCATTCGCTGTAAGAGCCAGAGGAGAGCAAAGCGTGAAGTGAATTAAAAACACATGAGCAGCAATAGAACTGAAATCAATCCTTCTACTGGACCTTGGCTATAGAGCATATTGTTACATGTGATGGGCCATCTCTCCTGGGGGATTTGCAGTTTTTCTCCGCAAATAACATCAGCATTAACTGAAACTGTTTCTTGAGACCACCTGCCTAGCGTGCATCCTAACAGTTCTAGGAATTACTCAAGGGCAGGTGGATTTCTGAATGGAGTGACAATCCCAAAAAAGCCAAAAGGCACAACTTTAGCCCAAAACCAAACTCGCAACTACATAACGATCTGGAACTGACTAATCACATGCAGACCTACTGCATGCCTGAATCACACAAACAGCAGTGAGTTGTTAAGTAATCCAAAGTTGACTTGTTGGGGTTTCCATTATTTTAACTCTATTAGCCTTGTAGCACCAGTGCAAAAGGTAAACGTGGCAGCAATACATTTTTGACATTGAATAAGAAAGCTTCTTTAAACTTTTATATAAAAGCTTACTTTAAAAACATAAAATAAATGCTTCTTGAGATTTTCAGCTGTCCAGAATCGAGTTAAAGGTTAAGTTAGGCTAGCTGTCCCTGCCCACCTGCTCTTGTCTGTGACACTCCTCTCTCGGCCTGCCTCCAGCTGGAGTTTACGGGCCCGCTCTCGCTCCTCCTTCTCCATGGCAACCTTGCGGAATTGCTGAAAACTCTCCTTAGATGACCGGATGGTGGAGGGAGCAAGAGTGGCCATCTTGCCCAGGCTCGTCCATGAGTCTGCATTCTTTAGAACGATTTCCTGCAGAAGGAAAACACATATAATTATGTGTAGGACAAATTTGCAGCAATTCTGATCCAGCAGTACTAACACTAGCGCCTAGGGGGACACAGTACATGGCAGATATAATCGCAAATAAATTATTTGCTGATAAATGGGAAAACTAATTATTGGTCACATGTGCACAAATACACTTACAGTCTTCAATGAAAAGGCCTGTATATCCAAACTTATTCAGTGATTCACCTTTCTTAGTTTTAACTGGTTGTATGCACAGCACACTTAATTTGACCAAAATGTGAATGCCTTAAAATAGAAAAAAAAGGTATTGGTCATCAGTATCAGTAATAATGTGACCAGTTATCAGTGTTATCAGTTACTGGTCACATCAAGATGCTAATTACTGGTTATCTGTATTCCCTATCAGAGCTTCTCTATTGGTATGAAACACTCTAGAGCAATGCTTGTGTTATGTACAGAACAACATGGTAATAAATCAGAAATACCGTCTTAGGGACACTGGGTTTGACATCTTCGCTGGATTTGCACACTTCGCCTCCTTCTGCAAGTTTAGCCCCTGTATAAAGTGCGTAAGAGGAAAGAGGCCCCATTGAGAAAAGTTCTGGTTACAAATGAGGATTAGAAGGAAAACTCCAGGGAAAGAAATGCTGACCAGGTGTTTTGTGCAGCTGAGCCAGAGACTCCCTCACCGCGCCTGGATTTCCCTGCTCCTCCTTTACATGAGGCTGCGGGGACAGCCCTGGACACTGCTGCAGAGATAGAAAAAGAAATTTTTAGGGAAAGGAGGAGAAAAACCAAAAAAAAAAAAAAAGCCAGCTGAGTCCAGTCTCTGCATAAATTCACCACACATGCACTATTAAAGCAGCACTTGAGATATTCAAACTTAACAAATGAACATTTTTTAACTTCTAGGCTGACTGGTACAGCTTGTAAGACTGCAGAAAAGGAAAAACAGATTTACCTCCTTGGTGATGGGCTGTGATTTTACACCAGATGGGGCTGGGTTTGTGGAGGTCAGGCTAGGAGGAGAGGTGAGTGGAGAAAGAAGGGCAGGGAAACCTGACCAAAAATAATAATAGAAGTTAACACAAACACATAGAAAAATGTATTATGACTGGAGGAGTAATATCTTGAATAAACAACACAACACAGCAGATGATGCGAGAGCACAGCACAGGGCAGGGCATTTCTAAAAAATGAAAGCAAAATGATCAACAAACAAGCCAAACAAACATACAACATGATTAGATGAGCAACAATAAAATAGAATAAGAATATTAAGATTAAATAAATAAGCTTAAATTATACTAGAAATTATAGTTTAAAAAAAAATGAAATCTACCAACATGACAAAACACAATGCTTTGCTACCATGGAAGGCAGAGAGTGCATGCAAAGCTAATCAATCTCACAGGGACAACGTTTGAGGACCACAGGAGACCAAGACGAGAGAAACCAGTGGGCGGCGATTATGGCGATTCAGAGCAACCTCTTACCTTCCTGCTGAGCCTTCAGCAGAGGCTTCTCTGAGGCAGCAGGGGGGCCATCGTAGGGCTCCTTCGAGACAGAGTGAGGCAGGGCTGGGGAAGTGTGTGGGGAGGTGGGATCTATGGCACTCTGTGCACTCTGGGGCTGACTGGGTGAGGCAGATGGATGCGGGCAGGCAGAGGGTGGGGAATGTTTGGGTGGGGCTGTTATGAGGCTGCAGAGGGAGGGGGCAGGAGGCGGAGGATGGGGGCCCTGTTCTGGGGGCACGGTAAGGGGCAGCAGGGGGGCCGTCCGGGTTTTGCGAATCAGAGGAGCCGCTTTGGCACTGGGTCTGGAAGGTTGAGGAGGCAGCCGACTATGCAGGGCTGAAGGAGGGGATGGTGGAGGAGATTTAATAGAAATGTGTTACACAAAATAAAGGGCTATTTCACAAAGCAAGATCTTAGTTAACCCAATAACTTAAAGTCGATCAAGCCCAATAAATACAACAGGACATACCCAGAAATTGCTACCGTACACAAGTACAAACCTCTATTTGAGACTGAGGCAGAAATAAGAAAACAAAACCACAAAGAAAAACAACAAAAAGAAACAAAAACAAAAAACAACTTTAAAATGAATAGTCTTTTCCGACTTGCAGACTTTTTTGTGGCATGACTTGATCACATTCGTAGTCTGTATAATGTGCTATGATCACCAACTCTCCTGAAGATTGACTTTCCCTCCCTTTTTTTTCACCTGCAAACCAAACCTTACACAACTAACCCAGCTCATTAAAGGATCCTGAAGATAATTAGCTGTATTCATTGTCTTCAGGGCTGTATTTAAGCCAAATAATTGAAGACAAGCCTATCCATTTAGAGCAGAGATGATAGATATTCATAAGTCCTCACTTATAGCTCGTTATCCAGCATGTTGATATTCTGTTTTGTGATGACGACTGGAGCTAAACCCTGCAGGAAGGTTAATCTCCAGGAGCAGGGTTAGTGACCACTGTATGATAAAGATGAGCAGGTACAGTAAGCCTAACCTGCCGGTGCTGGAACAGCCTCCTCAGCAGGTGGCTTGGCAACCTGCTCCGTTTCCGTTTGCGCAGACGGCTTTTTGGAGTCTGCTGCCGAGGGCAGAGCCTGCCCAGACGTAAGTCGCACCCGGCAAGGCTCCTTCAGCACAGGGTGAATGCTCCGCTTCGATGCCTGATCATGGAGGGAGGGGGGAACAGTGGGGCTACATTTCACTCCAAATTTAACTCCGCACAGTGTGAAGTGAAATGCTCCATGCATAGAAAAAAAAACTTGGCACCAAGCTAAAGGCCACTTTATCTAAATGTTTTAACCTTATTAAATCATTTGAATGAGTTTTTTTTCTTTACCTTGTTTTTACTTTTGTTGCCATGACCAGGGGCTTTGTTTTGCTTCTTCTTAGCTTTCTGCTCTGTAAGACACGCATAATGCTTGTTATTCAGTCAGAGCAGAGGGAATGGTCTAGCCCAAAAGACAGTGCTAATGTCCACCCCATCCCTTCCTGGGACAAATATTCTTAACATTATAATCAGCAATTTGGACTACATACACTGAAGTCTACAACCTAACAAACAAAAATACAGTACAGGCTATTGTACAGATGACTCCACAGGCAGAGCATACATCAACAAGTAAAACATAAGCAAGCTAAATACACATACAAGACCACAAAGCTAAAGCTGCTGAACAAATAAAGTATTCTAAAACTGTTGCTCTGCTTTTGCCCTTGCAGACCAGATACATGCTTACTCTAAGCTTGGGTGTATGCAAGTTAAAAAAAATGTGCATGATATCTTTCACTAGGTTCACATGTGATGGTGAGTGGATGTGAAAGCAATATGTGATGGCAAAATAAAAGACAAAAACACACCACTTATCTTTACATACAACAGTTGTCTAGGAAAATGAGTTTTATTTGAACTTTGGGGTCAATCATTAAGCTTTAAACCTGTAAATAAAATTTGCAGCTACAAAACAAATAATGCAGTGGATTTTAGCAGGACAGATGGCCGCCTCCTACAACAAAGCTTTGTTTGGTCCTACCATGCCCATGCCAGCTTAGTTTACAATCTGGTCAGTACCTCACATACAACGTTATAGTGTAAATTAATACAATCTCAATATTATTTTCATTTACATATATAACTTTACAAAAACCTATCGCATATGTATAAAAGATGAAATCACAATCTGAACCAATGCAACAAGAGAATCACACAGTAATGAGCTAGCGCAGCAGTTTCCAATGAGGACCAGCTATGACTCAATATGGCAGAAAGGACATTGTTGAAACATCCAAGCACTGCCTTCTACAGCCCCTTCTGCATGTTTGTACTGAAGACTTTTTTTTCTTAATGTCTCTCCACAATGTTAGTCATGTGGGCCTATTTTTTCAACAGCTTAAGGCTCTTTATGCTTCATTTCCAATGACATTTGGGTACTAGCTTTGATTTAGCGCTGGGCACGGCTCCGTTTGGGGTTTACAATAATGTTATTATGTTTACACATTTATACATTATACATATACATGTTACTTTTGCAAAGTAGGAAATAGCCAGCAGCTTGCTTAACTATTCATGAATTAGGTTCTTTTGGTTTTTATGTTTTGCTTGCTCCACTATACACACTATAAAACCCGATACAGAAATTTAATCTCAGGGATTCTCAGCAACATAATGAACAACGGTGTGCAATTCCAGCCCATTCAGGCCCATAGTTTAGAAGCTGGGTTTGGCACGACTCCGTTTACATTTGAAACATGCAAAGTGTTTGAAACATGCATGATGTGTATGGACATGAAGCATCGACCATTTCCCCACACTAAGAACAAGCTGGCCTCATTTCAAAACTACAGCACTGTCTTAAAATGCCAACAGACATAAAGTGATTTACGATGAAAAGTGAACAAAATTATCAATATCTAAAAGAACAGGAACAAAAAAGAATAATAAATAGCACCGGACAAAACTGGAGAGATAGAGAAAAAGAGATCTTTGTGACAAGACTTCCTCGCTCACTTGGAAGGAAAAGTGCACAAAATATACATAGGAAAAAAGATTACACCCATTTAACAATATGCAAACAGAAAAAAATAACTGAACAGATTTCAAGTATCTAGTGTTCCAGTAAGTGTTAAGGTGATATGGTTCTACTAATGGGGACGATGGCATGTCCAAGCAAGGTTAAGCACTTTTTTGTCTCCTGTTTGTTTCGTCTTCCCCTCAGTCTACCAGTGGGCAGAGAGAAAGGGGAGGAGGGGGTGATTTTAGCCTTGCCCCAGAGAGGGTTAAATAGGTAGAGAGGTGCAGGAAAAAGAGGGAGAAAGTGCTTATGTAGATCAGCTAACCTGAGTCAGAGTCACTGCTATCAGAAGAGCTAGAGTCAGTACTACTGCTGTCTGAGCTGGAGTCAGAGGTGCTGCTGCTGTCGCTGAGGCGGGACGACCGTGCCAAATCCTTCAGCTCTGCTGACTCACCTGCAACGAGGAATGACAGACACCAGAAGATGAGCCAAAGTGACAGCAGGAGCTCAACCAATAGGTGCAAAATAGTTAAAATTTCAGCTAGACTTTACCTACTACTACTACTACTACTACTACTACTATTACTACATAGCTGTTGTTTGCTTGTTTAATAAATAAGAGCTGAATACAGAAAGAACACTTACTCTTGGCCTTGGTCCTCTTGGTCGAGCTCAACTCTTCACTGACATTCTGTTTCTCAGTCTCCTTCATCTTCTCCGGTTTGAACTTCTGGGGCTTTTTCTCTAAAGCAAAGGAAGAAACAAACAATTATATGAACAAACACATGCATACACAAATAATATATGCTCACCATCCACTTATAAAAAAACACTACCCTGTAGCTCCACTCTGCCCACTCTGCAGGGGTACAGGCAGAGGCTATAGCCCCTTGTGAGACACTCTAGCTCACACCAAAAGGTCAGTTTCTGACCAAAGAGCTGCTTTTGGTTGCATTTTTTTTTGGGTGATGCACCACCCTCAAACTCTCAGTGTCACTGCTGTGTTGAGTGGTCCCCCACTCAAATAATATCTGGCCAACAGCAGTCCTGTGGTCAAAAACAGATCAATGACAAATGGGGTAGAGGATGGCTGACAACTGATAGGATTTTATCTGGTACTATACACCTATATAATGAACCTATAAAGCAAGGCTTCTCTGTCGTTCTAACACCAGCCACTCTGCATTCTCTCACATTCTTTATCCTCTAAACGGGTGTTATTTGAGCAGTTACTGAACCCTGTAGCAGGCTAACTATGTTAGCATTTGTGTGGCCCAGCAAGGTAAACCAAAGCAGCACGGTGCAATTTTAAATTTTTTTAAAATATCTGTCACTTCAACACCAGGCATATGAATTCGTGCACTAGAAGTCTTTATCCTTTGAACAGGATTTTTATTTATTTATTTATTTATTTTTAATTTATTAGAAGTACTGGTTCACTGGAACATAGTCTGTACTGTGGTGGGAATGACAGCACACTCGTGTTAGCTTATCCTCTGTGCTCAGAACAGTTCGGTCCTGTAGTGGAAGAGGCCCGAGTGGACCTCAAATTGGCCAGTGAGCAGAATACAATGACAATGTTTGCAATAAAGTGGATGGCGAGTGTTGACCCGTACTCTACTCACGGTTAGGTTTCTTGGGCTTCTTCCTGAGGCAGGTCATGACAAAGCTTTCCAGTGCTCGAAGCGTAGACGGCTTGAGCATCTCAAAGTCAATCTCAATCTCCTCAGGATCCGTGTCTCTGACTGCGGGCTCTCTGGCCTTGATTATGTTCACAACTTTTCCAAGTTTGTCCCCAGGGAGCTTGTTGATGTCCAGGCTCAACTGGCGCTTCTCCTCATAGGACATGGGCAGAGCAGGTTCTTCGTCAGACTCATACCCTCCATCCTTATTTTGCCTGATGACAGAAGAGTTTAAATTGGTAAGAGAACGTGCGCACGGGCTAAAGCCTGGTAATGTGTGAGTCTATGTGTGCGCAGGTGTGAGTGTTTGTTTACCCACCCGGTTGACTTGCTGCTGCTGGCCCTCTTTTGCACTTTTGATGGAACTGTACTCCTCATTCCATCACCCTTTCTTTTGCTTTTTTTCTTTTTTTTCTCCTTCTTCAATTTCTCTTTCTTCTTTGGTTTAAGTAGAGGTGTTTGGGTCAGTAACTGCAGCTGTTCTCGCACTGCTTTCAGCTATTTGACACAGAAGTAGCACTAATTACCAATAACAGCAATAATTGAAAAATGAGATGACAGTTACATTACATTACTATTTAATACCTGCTCCTCGAGATTAGCCAGGCGCTGTGCTCTCTCCTCTTCATCTTCATCTACCTCAGAGTCAGATGAGCTTTCTGAGTGAGAGGATTCTGTGTCGCTGCTGTCAGAGCTGGACGAGCTGTCTGCTCTCTCTTTCTTCCCCCTCTTGGGCACATGGGGCTGGCCTTGACCCAAAACCCTCGGCTCATCTGGGATCTTGGCAAAGCGTGACTCAAAAACATCCTGAGCAGAGGAGACCGACATTTACTGTCAGAAAACCTGCCCATCATGCACACCACGAACATATTCAGCTCTTATTCCATTTGAAAGAATAAGCAGAGGTGCATTTTCTAAGCCTGTGCATAGCCAGTACACACCTGCAGCTTTCTGGCCATGGCCACAACCTCATGGGTAGGTGGGTTGTACTTGTAACAGTTTGAAAACATGAGCCGGACATCTGCGGCAAACTGAGATGCATCTGCGTAATCGCGGTTGTCCATCTTTCTCTGAGGGGGGAGTGAAACACCATGTCACCATTCAGCCTAATAAACTATTCTGCGATATTTAAAAAACAACCCACAAACAATCTTTAACTTCAATCAGGCCTCATCAAGAACTAGAAACCTGTACATATTATTACAACTTCATCTTACTTTAAAGGTGTGCTCAAGTCTATGAATACATAGATGAACACAAAACTGGTCCAATCTTATACATTTAACAGAGATTTTCCCCTAAAACAAAACCAATAAATACATAAAAACATAAAAACTATTAGCTGAACTCAAAAGTCTTTAGCTTACTTTAATGGTGCTCAAGTCCATTGGTTCATGGATAATGTCATGATAGTCATGAAGGCCGAGCCCTTCGGCATCCACAGGCTTGTAGAAAGGCCAGGCGTAGATGGCGTGTTTCTTGGCGAACAACTCCTTTAAGATGCCATTGCAGTATTTGAGTCTTTCTGAGAGCTTAGCTTTGCGGCCCACCTGGTGCTGCTGGGGGGACTCGGGCAGGTCCTTGCGTGGCGGTTTGATGGGCCTACCGCTCCCTCGCCGGGAGAACAACTTCAGGACTTTTGTTTCTGTCACACAAGGCGATGACTCGCTGCTGGTGATGGTGGAGGCAGTGGGGGTTGTGGTATCTGCTTTCCTTTTCACACCCTTTTTCAACTGAATTGAAAACACGTTGAGATTCACATGGACTCCATTTCTTACATTCTATAGGTTTATACTGTAGAGCTGTCACGATAAATTTAACTCATTACTCAGTTCTATTTATAATATTCCAATTTGATATTCTAACAATCTTTTGAAGAAAAGTCATGTCAGTGTTGCTGCGCAACCTGCTGCGCAACCTGCTAATGAGACAACAAGTGAGTGTGTCATGTATGATGCTGATACTTTTGTCACCATGATGTGCATTGCAATGTTTTTGCATCACAAAATGTGGACTGACTTTGGCTTCAAGATGAGTAGACAGAGGAGTGGAGGAGATTGTGTGAAGAGCTTCAGGAGGGATGACTGTCACAGTCTGCTGGAAGACCACCTCAGAGACAGGAGACTGTGGCCTCATTTTCCCCAGTCCTGTTAAATATTTACACACACACACACACAAAAGATGACAGAGGCAACTTTTGGTCACCCTGCATGTAATGGATTGGTTTCTTAGACATGGATCAAGCCTGTTCTTGGACTATACTGCAAGCCAGTGAAGTTCTAACATTAAAAATCATGTTTAGTCTAGGCTTATGCTTAATCTGAGTCAGCAAAAAAATAAAATAAAAGTCTACAGTCACATACATACAAATCATGTATGCACAATATAAATCTTGTATACTCTTACAATCTGCAGATTCACACAGTATGTGAGGACGTGAATAAAGCTTAAATCAGTGGTTCCCCACCTCTGGCCCTCTAGTATCCTTTCTCTGCACATTTCTGTGTTTTTCCTTGCTCTAACGCCTTGATTTAACTAATCAGCAAATTAATAAGACCCTCATGAGTTGCAGACCTAGGGTTGGGAACCACTGGCTTTCCTTAGTTAATACCTGTAGTTGACTTCCTCCTTCCTTTTAGTGGTGCCTTGTTGGTGACTGCAGTAACCTCACACTCTTCCTGGGGCATCTCGGCCACCTTCTCCAGGAACAGCTTCTCAAGTGCTTGAGCCATCAACACTATATCATCTCCTGGCTAAAGAAAACAAGTTTTAGTTTAAAATGAAGTTTTAAACTGTTTGCAGACAAGAGATCAGTTTTCAGAGTAAAGGAGTTCTCACCCGATTGTACATATAGCAGTTTGTGAACATTGTGTTGAAGTCTTCAATACATTCCATTGCCTTCCAATAGTAATTGTTTTCAAGACGCTTTTTGATGGTGTTCAAGTCCATTGGGTTTTTAATGATTGTATAATAATCCTGAAATCAATACCAGAAAACATTTACGTTAACAACCTTCACTCACAGAAAAGATATGCACATAAACAACAGGTCAGAGCTCTACTGATTGAGTTCTCATTTAGTAAGGGATGCACAGATTAACATTTTTTGTGCTTTAATATGGCTGATTTAACCAATCTGTAAACAGTTAAGCCCTTTATGAGTTAAATCAGGCCTGTTAGTACAGCTAAAACACTAAAATACACTCCAAAATCCTTAAAAAAACTACAATTACAGTAACCACATCACCAGTGAACCAGAAAATATCTTCTACATTCTATTTTGCCCATATTGTACTATAGTTACATTCTTGTCCAACATACACATGTCCGTACATATAGGTGACGCTGATGTTGACTAAAGCGTGCAGTATTGTTTTATCTGCAACATATTTGCCTGGGCAAAAACTTAACTTTAAAGCCTTTTTTCTTCAGTTTGCCTATCAGCTTAATTACTGCTCTTTGACCTTGCAGGGCAGTTTGACCCTCCAGTCCTAACTGCATTAGACTCACAGGCAGGTTGAGTTGCACAGCATCCACAGGCTGCCTGAAGGGCCAGGAGAAGTGATGCCTCCAGAGAGCTCTGACCACCACCTTCTCAAGGTACTGCAACTGGTTAGTGAGCCGCCCTGGCTTTTTGGGGTTCTTACACTCGGGGGGAGGGGGGTTACCCTTCATGGTGAGAATCACGTCCGACATGGTCGAGTGTGCCCCAAAGGGCAACAGGCGCAGACAGGAGAATTTCGGAAACTATGTCTGGTGGGCAGCTCAGCTCTCATTACACATCCTCTGCTTGTTTCACACTGTGAAAAAGGAAAAGCAATCTGAGTCATGGGGCACAGCCTAAGATAATGTGGCTGCAAGTTGTTTAAAAAAGAAAATGAATACAACCTGACAGCGTACAAGTGAAATAGATATTGGACAAATATAAATGAGCCAACAGTTATTGCTACTGTTTAAACTGCATACAAAGAATTCCAGAAAACAAACAGCAGCAGCAACAGCTCCTCATTTCAATCACCAAACTAAAAGTAATGCAAGGTTTTTGTCTGCATATTCTTATCAGACCAAAAACATGCTACTGCCTACAAACAGATTAAGGTTTAAAATTAGGTCGGCATAATGATATTGGATTCTTATCAGTATCTGCCGTTAACTGCTCAAAAAGACACAAAGAAAAAATTAGATTTGTCCTATATTTCAACCCAATTTATGACATATCCATGTTCAGAAAAGCAAAACTTTCAAGGGAATGCTGGGCTACACTGCCTGCCTTTTAGTCCCTGACCTGCATTTGTAACCCTCGACAAATAAGCGGAACATTACTCTCCATTAGATACCCAAGAAAACTATATGTATCTGCGTCTGAAAACATACGCAAAATCAGATATCGCCGTTGGCATGTTGTTGCATCCTCATTTAATTGTATAAAGTTAAGAAAATGTACGATTACACTAGATTGTATAAAAGTACAGACAGACTAAAGTTAATTATTACAAATGGAAAAGAGTAGCAGCTAGTCTGCAAACAGCCTTCTGCCTCAACATTTCCCGGTTTATTTTCAGAACTCATGAACCCTGACAGAGCCCGTTTTTTTGGTGCAGACTGCCCCCTGCTGCCTAAAATCAATCTTTTCCACAAACGGTCCGTGTGGTTGTAGATTTTCATTCCAATCATGCAGAAGCACACCTAATTTAATTAGTTATTCTCAATATATAAAATAATAATTTAGTGTTACAAGTGGTGCTCTTGCTTGGTCGAAATGAAAACCTGCAGCCAGCCCCTCTGCTGATAAGATTGGTGACCTCTGGTCTAGCGAAGGGGTTCCCAAACCTAGTCCTGGAGTATCTACTGCCCTGCATATTTTAGTGTTTCCATGACTTCCAACACGCCTGATCCAACTAACCAGATCGTTAACAAGCCCCATGAACATAAAATGGTGTGCAGGAAACAAGAAAACACTAAAATATTTAGGCAGGGGGTCCTAAAGGGACCAGGGCTGGGACCTTTTGGCCTAGAGGGACAATAGTGCTGCAACTGCTCTCTTGACTTGTGCTGTGTTGTTCCTTTTCACAAAAACACCCCCCTCAAACACATCCAGACAACTTCTTTTGCCACCGCATCATGGAAACTGCTCTGCAGTTAGTCGCGTGCTCTGTTCCTAGACTGACTCAAATAATCCAAGCCTAACATCTTGGGAACACAGGAACTAACGTTAATGTATTTTCAGCACATCTGAAAATCTATAAAAATACTTATAGTGCAGTATATTCAGCTTTATGTTTTAATCAAGACATGTTACTGAGTCAGTCCCAGTGCCCCGTTATAGCAGCACTGCTCGATTTATTTACATACAGCTGAAACTGGTATTTAGCAAACGCAGCAGCAAAATACCTGATTAAAACTAATCATACTACTTTTTTTTCCAAGAACACAGCTAAAGCGATCTCAAAGAATAACTAAATAAATAAATAAATAATAAAGGAAAAAAAAACACGCACACACCGTCGCAGCTCTTAAATAAACAAGGCTTAGTCCAAATTAATAAATTACCAATTACTCTTCTGTCTTGGATCCATGAAACAGAGCTGCACTGATTCCTCACCACTTACCACCAAATACTTCACAAGGTCTTCTTGAAAATCGTTTTGCCCGAATCCAGTTTAAAACCCAAAAACGTGTACATTACAGATACAAAAGTACAAAAGTACAGATCTTTCTGTGCATTTTATTCAGCACGTACATTAATAACGGAACTATAAGAAGCCCTACCAAGGACTTATAAAGCTCCACATGAACAACAGAGGTATAACAAAGAAAATGCAAGTTTTATAAACTACACAACATAATGTGAGCGTACACTACTGATTTGTTGGAAATAAAATCGTGCTGGAGAAATTTTATTTGAAAGCGACAAAAGTCCGCTGGGACCCGAAAGAAAAGAAACAGAAGTTGTAAATTGCAGTTTTATTTGCTAATACTTGTACATAGTTTTACAGAAGAAAATTTTAGAAAATTCATGTTTCCAATTTAACAAATATTGCTTGTCATACATACCAGTTAATCAAAACACCACCTTTACTACTTTGGAGACAATCAATAACTATCTCTTGCACACTGATGTTGACTAAGTTATAATGTCAAGTTCAGATGTAAAGTTATCAACACTCAAAGCAGTAGAGTCAAGGAGGGTTGAGAAATACTAGCCTAACTACAATTATTGTTATATATTTGGTGAAAGCTTTACTTATTTTACTTGTTACTTATTTCGCTGTAGACCGCAGTACGTCAAGGTTACATAAACCTCGTGATCTCTGCCTGCATGATGCAATCGTCCCACATGGATTAGGTAACAACAAACGAGTCAAAAAGATGGGGGACAGAACATACACCTATTTCCTACTTGGTCTTAAATGTTAAATAACGAGAATATCATTACATTTAAATTAAGCGAGTAGTAAAACTCATTATAGCATAACCATTGGTCAACTTCATTACCGAACTGACGTGCCTGCTCAAACCAGGCAACAAAATGGCGTCAGGCGTGAACACCACAATGGCTGCGTCCTCATTGCTATACTTGTGCTCTACACTCGTACACTACCTAGTGCCAACTAGCGAGTGAACAGACCGAACTTGAGACACTTTGTTCGCATACTTACCATTGAACAGCTAACAAATTCTAAAACATCACGCTGGCAAAATCGTAAGGAACCATGAAGCCACTGTGACTAGCGCACTTTCATGCACACTAGAATTTTACAACCTTTCAAGTGCACTAACAATTCGCGCTAGCTATGAGCCCTACTTAGAATGAAAGAGCGCAGATTGGTCTACAGCCACTTTCTCTCAGTCTAGCTTTACACTAGCACTGCCCGCTAGCTGAGCCATCACACCCGCCCCCAAACACATGTAAGCTAGCGAGTAAGGCGTGAACTCGCATGATTACAGTCCCTCGGACTCTCGCTCATGTCCTGTTTACATCGCTAGCTGAATATTATTAGCTAGCTCAAAAAAAATTACCTTTCCGTCTCGGGCACAACAACGAACGTTTTAAACTGCCGACCCTGAGACAGACGTTTCTGTGCCGAAGAACTTCTGCTGGAAAGCCGGCCAAAGCAGGATCTTCACGTTTCTTTACCCAGGATACAGGAAGCTTACGTTAACACTGCTTCAAAATAAAGTCTTAAAATCAAACGACTCGCTTTATTTATTTATTTTTACGTTACTTATATTTCTCAGAAAGACGGCCCAAAAGAGTCTTCAAATGGCGGACCAACGGCTCACACAGCCGCCCGCCCGCTTATTTATACCGTTCTACTCGGAGCTCGGTCTCCGATTGGTCAATCTCCTTCACGTGCTCTCCTTTCTCGTTTTCTTTTCATTCGAAGGGAAAAATACTACGATAACGAACACAATAAAAGGTATTTTCCCCCAAACTGTGTCTTTGGATCCAGTTAATACCTGCTAAAATAAATCATTTTTAGTACAAGACCTCAAAATCATAAAAAAAACAAAGACGTACGTCAGAGTGTTTTTTTTCAAAAGTGCCACATAACTGGTCTCTCCACATCACATGACCAATTCTAGAACATTCTGTCGATCCGTCTCTAGCTCGTTTTCTCGTCTTAAATGCCTTTTGCTGCTAAAAATTATGTTCTTTTTCCCCGTAGAGGTTTTCTTTGAGCCAGGCTTCTCGCCCGTGTCGGCTATCGTGCACCCTAGCAGCTTCAAAAATCTCACAAAGAAAAGAAGAACACGGTTAGAGGGAGGGAGGGAGGAGACAGCACGGAGCACGCATGCGCGGGCCATGGCGGCAGTGATTGGCAAAGACGCTGATGATTCACTGACGTCACACACACACACACTCTCTCTCTCTCTCTCTCTCTCTCATTTTCAGTTCAGTGGTCTCACGTGATAAACAATGGTGCGTTTGCCAACATTTGGGTGAAATTACCGTATTGCATATATCAACAGAGACATCTTTCAGTAGCCTAAAAGATTACTGTCACTTAGACTGCGATAAGCTGCCACAAACACGAAAACTGAAAACCCAGACTACCTGATCACTCACTTTAGCTCTTGGTAAAAGTGGCAAGATCTCTGACTGTCAGGACCTCAGGATTGCGAGTTTTCTGTCTCACTCAAGTTTTCTGACTCATATTGTTGTGGATGTTAGCTTTCACCCTTCCATGTGTGTAGACTGTTTTTGCATAGGCCTGAAAAATTTTAATTAAAATTTTACACAAAAACTGTTACGATCTAGACAAACAAACACAAACAGAATATTGTTTCATTTCACTTTTCTATTTCCTATTTCCATCCCTGATTTTAATAAAACTGTTGCTTTCTATTTGGGATCTTAAATGAAGAGTTCTTAATTAATTGATACTTGCTTCTTACAAAGAAACAATTAATAATGTTTAAACTATTAATAACTATTATCGATTATTAACTAAAACAACTGATTGATCTAAAAAGAAAGCACGTGTCAACACAGACTGATTTTGGAATCGAATGAGCATTTGCAGCTGTCTATGAAATTACATTTAATTGCCACTAGAGGTCAGCATAAGCCACCTTTTGTATGAAATTTCCTTCAGTGCTGTGCAATATCAACTTCAAAAGAACCAACAGTCTGTTGACCTTTTTCTCTGTTTTTCCATGAATGTTTAACTGATTAGGTTTGGCACGCCGTTCCAGCCAAACTTGAAAACAAGACAAACCAAATTAAGTTGAGTTTTAATTGGCAGGTTTAAAGGAACACTCCAGCTTGTTCCAGCCTAGTCTTGATCTGTCACATCTGTTGCATGATGTCAATTACCACAGATAATAATTTTGACATATTTTCCAGAAATTATTAAATAAACAGAAAACCTGTTTATTATTGACAGACTTATAATAGAAGCTAATGGGCAGGTGCTTGATTTGCTCCCGTTATAAGTGCTGTTTTTTTTTAAATTCAGGGAAATTATTGCCTATGGTAATTAATCGTATGTTTCACAGACAGTAGATAGAAGTTAGGTTGGAAACCACCAGATTGTTCCTTTAAGTCCTCATTTTAGACTAAATGTCTGCTAACTGGAGCATTAAAATAGGCCTCCACAGCCTTGTGATGTGACTGCGGTCAGTAAGGAAGGGAGCATGTTCACCTGTTTCCTCGCCACATCCTAACCGAGTGTAGTTCCCTCATTCTGTTTGCTTTTTGACTATCCAGTAGGTCCAGCTCCCTCCCCTCTGCACCAACACAAAGCCAGTCTGTTTATTTTACCAGCCAGTAGACCCTTGTCCTTGCTGAAATCAGACCCCACACAATAAATGTAACTGAAAATATTTCAACATAAAATAAATTGTGTTTTGCGTTTGCTGAGGTAGCAAAGTCAGCATATTCTTACATTTCCCTGTTTGATTCAGTGGAAATGATGAGGCATAATTAAGTGAACCCCTTTAACCCTAGGCTTATTGTGCAGCTGAAGACTAACTACCATGAATCATTTAGCAACTGTCATGAAACTGATCTTATGTAGGTACAGTGGGGTCCAAAAGTCTGAGACCACTGGTCAAAATGTGTTCAATAGATATTATCAGCATAACAATTTGTGTGAAAAATTTAATCTATGAATATTTACATGAATTTTGGAATTTTTTTAGTATTTGGTACATTCCCCTTTTGCTTTAATGGCATTAAGCCAACATGGACTCCATAGGTTTGTGCAAAAGCCTTTGATCAGCAGATCAGATCCTCCTGAGAGTCATCTGAACCTGTGCTTCAGTGACAGAATGAGACAGAAAAATCTGACCTCTTTGTATGTTAAATTTAAATAGAGACGTAGAAATAGTTCAAAATTTTAACTACTGCTTCTTCCTTTTAATTGTCACAACATCTCTCTGTTTTAAAATGTTTGCGATTCTGAAACTTTCTGTTATTACCAGGTTTGTTATTACCAAAAAAAAAAAACATATTTTCAGTGTAGTCTCAGTCATTTGGACTCCAGTGTATTAGAGAGTGGAGTTAAAGTGCAGGCCCATATACTGACCCTTAGGAGTCAAGGAGTCAGGTATGTGGAATCTGTGTACATTTGAATAATAAAATGCTCGAAGAAGTTCTGTGGAGTTAAAAATGTATGAGATTTGTGAGAAAATGTATTCAACACTTTTAAAGTTCCATTCTTTCCATGCATTCTTTCCGTGGCAGGCCTAGTGTTAGCAAATGTAATGTATTTGTCGAATCTTCTGCAAATGCAATAAAAGACACTGTAAGGAGGTGCATTTCTGATGCTTTTGGAAGAAAAAGATCACAAGCAGGATAGAAACAGTAAAGTAAAGTTTCATGTTCAGGACAATATTTTATTATTTCATCTCATCCATCCTTCCCCCCTGTCTGTGTAGTTTTTCCACGAATCTGGTGCTGTCCCGCTGGCAGCTGATGAGGCCCAGCGCGATGCTGAGGAGGAATACATATGTATGAGGAAGTGGAGTGTGATAGCAGCTCTTTGAGCGCATTCTCACTGACACTCAAAAGCAGCACATCAATGTTTTTTCTCGCAGAAGACGGCAAAGGGGCTCCAAAACAAAGTTCTTCCGTCTGGCACAGGTGCACACATCTCATTAGTGGCAAATCACGGCCTTGACATTTTACACCGTAAGCAGCCGAAATGCCTCTTTTTTTTGCCCATTTCCCTCAGAGCACGGCACAACATTTCAGTCTCAGAACATAAAAGATGTGCTGGAAAGAGACGATGGCAAAACACCCCAAACAAATCAGGTAAACAAATATACCCACCAACAACAACAACAACAAACACATGCACATATGCACGCACATACACTTTAACAACCTGATCCGCCTGAATGGAACAAAAATGCCTTTTGCTGACAGATGGAGGATGCTCTGTGTTGCTACAGCAGATTTATTGTCAGCTCGCTTGTCTAACAAAATGATCAATTATGGATGTCTTATGTTGTCTTCTATGGCAATGCTGCACTGTTTTCCATCATAAATTCTCCACTTTCCACATCCTTTCAAATGCAGACTTTTTCCATATTAGCTGCAGTTTCAATGAAATGAATAATTTCAAGCTGTTATTTAGTTCATCACTGAAGACCTGTCCTTGAAGGAGGATGGGCCTTGGCATGGCCTGCGTTATGGCAGATTCTGCTGGATTCAGATTTTTTTCCTTGATAGCGGAGCTCCAAGGTCAGGCTTCACATTGCCAGCAGGCTGCAGCCTTGAAGCAAATCAGATGGCAATGACTCCTTTCAGTTGGAGGGGACACTGTTATCACCAGCATTCAAATCTTAACTGATAAGGCTGGTCCACTTTCATACACAATGGGTTTAGCAATGCACTGTAGTGTCTGTGAAAAAAGCACTGCATTGAATTTACTTGATTCAAATGTTTACATCATTTCCACCTGAATAAAATGTATTTCGTCAACACACTTTTAGTTTACTTTCATGTTGCCAAAGGCAAAATTGTGTTGGTATAATTTATTTTATTCATGTGGTCAGTTCAACCCAACACTTTTTCAGTGTGCTACAGAGGTTTCAGAAATTAGAACATCTACAGGAAACTATTATTATGGGTTTAAATGTTATCCAAGCATATTACCCAAGCAGATGTACAGTTGTGATAGAGGCTCATAACATACTGTTTTATATACTCTGATTTCTCAACAAATGTTGTCTTGAAATCTATTAACAAAGGTTAATAGATTTCAAGAATTAGTGTTGATTGCACTAGTTGTATTGTAAACTGTTCACGCATTGTAGTGACCATCCAGTAGTCATTCAAACATTGACATGTGGACAGATGGATGGACAGACAGATATATATATATATATATATATATATATATATATATATATATATATCACACACACACACACACACACACACACACACACACACACAGACAGACAGATACATAGATAGCATAGATAGATTCAAATTTCCCTTCAGGAATAAAAAGTACATTCATTTGTCTGTCTGTTTGTCTATTTATCTGTCTATCTGTCTGTCTGTCTATGCTACAAATTCAGACACTAATGCATCACAAATGTGTCACCACATAACTATTATAAAACATATGCATAATTAAAAACCAACCAAACAAAAAGAAAACACCAAAAACGAATAAGAATCACTTTGTCATAATTTCCCAAGCATTAACTGGCCCGTTACATCTAAATATCATATGTTTTGCTTCAGCAGTTCCTCAAGTAAGTGGAGTTTGGTGGGCGGAGCCTAGAAGCCCCTCCTCCTCCATGCAGCGCACAGCCGGAGCAGCACAGCTATTTAAAAGTTTTTGGGACGTATTTTACACTTTATCATCCCTCGTTTTTTGGGGCAGAGTGTCTCCTGGCTGATGACTCTACTGAACCAAGACCGTGTGGGCTTCGTAACTTTTAACACACTCGAAAGGAAACGTTGAGATTTTGTCTTCGTTGCCGAACTGCTGCTGCTTCCAACTTCAGAACTTCAGCGGACTTACTTCTACTTGTGGAGAGTGTGCGGTACGTCAGTGCAGTTCACTTACATTCACTTCTCTTAGACCTTAGTACTGATGCGTGTTCTCTCTGAGCACTACAGCAGTGTTTAAATGCACCTTACTGACTTTTTGTGTACGGCGTGGAGACGCTTGACATTTGCTTGCCTGCGTGGTTGGATCAGTTGGATCAGTGTGGTTGTAGTTGCTGAAGTTTTTCTTCTGCCTGTAGATGAATTGAATGGTGAGGGATGCTGATCCCGCCACATGTTAGCATTGCTTATTTTAGGTATAATCAGCGTTTCTTCTGAAATCATTTAGTGAAAACCAGAATACTGCTATGCACCATTTCTGTCACTGTAGTCAGAAGTGAAGAGATCCTCCCCCTGCTTGGAGAAACAGTGTAATACTCCAGTGAATGGTCATCAGCCTTATTCAGCTTTATTTGTATTATACATTGTAATATGAGGGCAAAGTAAGTGTCTGAGGCATCCTTCCTTTCTGTATGGCACTAATGCAAGAGTTTGGGATGCCAATGGGTGACTTTGTGGAGTGAAATAGGGCCTCTGTTGTGGGTGCTGAAATTTGTATATGATTTTTCATTAACATGCAGTTTTCTGGTCAGAGGTGTTCAAGGTTGTCTTCAGTGAAGAATTTCATTAAATCAAACTGTCCCTGGGCAATAAATAAAAAGGCAGAGGCATTGCTGTTAACGCTGCGAGGCAGGAGTAAGTATCAGTTTCGGTGTCTGGATGATTTGTTGGAGATATTGTAATGCCCTCAGGCAAGGATTCGACATCTCTGAGGTGTGAAGCAGTCAGGCGTGAGATATTGCCTCAAGATGAGGTTGCATTGCGCTGGTGCACATCTCATGATGATTCAGCATATCATCAATTTCTCCAGCCCTGCATTAGCTTTACATTAACTTTGGTGGAGCAGTCAATACACTAAACTGTGCAGTGGTGTGGCTCCAGATATTGTGCATAGAGGTGCTCAGCTGTAAACAATAAAAAGACCCCACAAAAGTGATATATTGAAAATACACCCTATCCAGACACCCCTACTAATTAGTGAATTCAGCTACTTTATGGTGCACCCATTGTGTTCTATTGTGCGCACACAGCTTGTATAATCTCCATAGAAAAGCATTGGCCAATAGAATGGGATATTCTGGAGCAGCCACCATGCTCAATGCAGATGTCAGCTAGAGAGATATAACAAAAACATTGGGTTGTGGAGCAGTGGAACTGTGATCTCTGGAGTGATGGAGCTCCATCCAGTACCTTTAGGTTTTAGAGTTTGTGATCCAAAACTGATCATCCAGCATTAGTATCTGACCTCAGTAATGCTCTTGTGGCTGAATGTAGTCAAATCCTCACACTAATGTTCCAATATCTAGTCTAAGAAGTGAGCGAACACTTTAGTATTTATGTCTTTTTTTCTGTACTTCTTCCTTCTTCTGAGATGTATTAACACATTGGTTTTGATCAGTGCATCATTTATAAAGACTATGCATTGATTCTGCCAAGCCAGTGGTTTTTGCTTTGGTTTGTGGTAGAAGCTGAAAAATGTAGCAATAATCTTTAGGGTTTTCATTCCAACATAGCTTAATATATGTTTACTATGTTTTCTGCTAACCTGAACTTGGTGGAGGATATTTTGAATTGAAATGAAAACTTTAGAACATAAAGTAATAATCTGGATGTTTTATTGGAGAATCTGGATGAAATTGTATTGTAATAACACATGAAATATCAGCAAATATTGAACTGTATTGTATCGTTTTGTAAGATTTTCACCCCTACTTACAGCGCAGCATAATAAATACAGAGAAATGTGCAGAGAGGAGAGTAAATGGTGTCTTTCTGCAGACAGGATCTGCAGTAGTTGTAAGATTGTAGAGCTGAAGTGTTAGAGGGATATGCTCATTATGCCCATTATCTAATGACTCACTTAGTTTCTTTGCACTGCATGCAGTTGTAGTTGCTTTCTCTAATTGAGCAGGTCCGCAGGTGTTCGATCCGAATAAATAGGAATATTGTGTTAGAATACTGGTTTTATTTGTTTTTTTTATTATCAATATAAATATATGTATAATGTTATATAAATATATCAATATATTCCTTTAATAAAGTTTTAATAAATTAGTTTTTTTTCTGCAGTCTTTCCTGTTTGTGATTAGGGTCTTCATTCAAGCAGAGCTCAACACGTGTTTACAGTCAACCTAGTTTTGAGGAAGTTTATTGTGAATTGAAGTAGAAAATGTGAACAAAATTGAAAAAGTTGGTTAATGTAATTTGTCCTCTCATGATCATGAAATTTTTGCTGACAATATAAATAATTGCGATTAACAGGTAAATCGTCTTTTTTTGTTTATTGTATGCATCCACTAAAGGGAACCCAATGCTCATTTTCAGTGTTCAGAATTTTATTTTTTGGCTCTAATATAATAGATTTACATGATTCAGTGTTCCAAAAACACAGTAATTTCTCATACTGTACATCTCTATTCAACCTCTGTCTAAAACGCTCTGTTAGAGCTCTTGTGTCTTTAAGCCCCCTCTACTGATTAGCCCAGTGTGATCTGATTGGTCAGTTCGCCTACTCTGTTCTGACTGGTCAACTGCCAGAGCAGCATCTTGCTACAAGTTCTGCATCACTGTGGCTATTCTTACAATACCGTGGATTCTGCCAAATAAGTTCAAGCCAGAGTCCCATCCTGAAAGTTAGGAAGAACAAGTTGGCAGACCCAGTTCAACCTTCGCAAGATAGACTGAGCCTGGATGTTTCAGAGTGGTAGATTTTACTTTGTAGGCCTTTTGCGTGAGGGCGTGCCAAGCTTCCCAGTAGGCGGGCAGTAATGATTGTGTTATGAGATTACATCATCTTGTAACAACAAGATGACTTTGCAGATTGTTTACGTGCGCAAACAGCTATATAGCACACTAAAGGAAAGACGAAAAGCTTATAACATTTGTGTGGTTTTATATACCAAAAATGATATATTCCTTAGTGTTGAACAGGTTGATTTTGTAACTGTGCCTTGAAGACAGATATATTTAAATTGTCTGTTCTGATTGGCTGCCCTGTATTGTGTCTTATTCAAACAGCACTCAGAGCTGAAACACTCCTTAGAACTTCAGTGTGAATGGGCAGAGCTAAACTGCTGTAGGCTGCATAGGTTGGTATATGCAAGGAGTGAAACACAGGGGGCCCTGGGGTGTCCTCCAAATGAACCTTTTGGACCCCTTGAATGTCTTAAAATGTGTTATATCTCAGTTAATGTGTGGAAGAGTGCATTAGACTGAAACTAGAAAAGAGCATTTCCAAAAGAAAAAATGTTGAACTGAGCATTTTGTTTCTATTATAGCAGCGTCAGTGAGTAGTAAGTGAGTTAGCAGTCAGCCAACACTGGAGTAGCCAGCCAACAAGGGACCTCCCCTGAATACCGTGGGGTGTTTCGCATAATGGGTAAATGTAAATGAGTTGGTTCTTGGGACATCACGTAAACTATGAATTCAAAGCAGGATGTTTCAGCAGCTAAGTTTCCGTATGTGGACTGTATTGATTGCGGAGTGCAAGGTACGTTTTGAAACTTTAACAATGTTTATATATTACTTCATACTCCTTCATTTAAAAAAGCAAGAGAAAGCCAGTTTTCCAAGATATGGGCCCTTGAAAGTACATGTGGCTGATTAGCTATCTTGCTTCTTATCTGTTCACACTTAGGAGCGCCTGAAAACAGACACAGCTCAAATAAACAAATATTACTCACCCTCTAAAGATGTGACAGCATCAATCAGAAGATATGAACCGTTGTTTTTGTTGTAAAGCCCTGTGGTATGTTTTCTGTTCTTTTATTTACATATATTGAACTGATGAAATACACCCACATTTGACATAAACAATGATTTTGAAAGCTAGTAACAGTGGAAAATAAATGTGATCAGCCCAAATAATTGCGATCAGGTGATTATGGAATAATTGGCCTACATTTAATGCTGTAAATCGGAGTCATAATGCTGTGAATAATGGACGTGAATTAAAACAGAAGAAGTGATTTCAGCTTACTCACCTGCAAGACCATCAGTTGTTCTTTAAGACACAGTGACTGCTACACTTGCACTAAATCATATATTCCTTGTTTTTGCTGTTATAGCTCCCTGTAGACCACAAAAATAACATGCACTGTTTAGTCCCCAATTCACCAGTGACTGTATGCTTTTTAGTTGTACATTTACTGTGCTAAAACCTTCGCTCCACTTCCTCCAAAAGTACATGCATGAATGGGACTTCTCAGAGGGGTTTGCTTGGCTTCCAGTGAGACTGTTTAATGCTTCATGTAGGCTTAGAAGGAGTGATATCTGTAGCTTAGCATCAGGTCAGGCTAAATGGGGGTGATAAGAGTCTGTGTATGTGATTACTGATTAGTCTACAGTGGCTATGAAAGCATAGCTTGTGGTGTGCGTATAAGATTAAGAGCAAGATTCTGTGAGCAGGTCATTAACCCCTGAAACTGCAGGCTTATTATTCAGTTATTGATCTTACGGCTTATTATTTGGTAACTGCTGAAAATTACTCAGGAACTACTAAGGCTACAAAATATGGACAACATACTAGCATTGTGATTTTGATACACCCTGTAATATATTGAAAACTACGGCCATCAAACAATTACAATAATGAATCACTATTAATCACATTATGTTGTATTAAATCATTAATAATTGCATTGAATTTGAATTGCATTAATTGCATTCAATTAAATTTGAGCCTAAAGAAAGATTTGTCCATTTAAAAAGCAGTGTAATTTTATAGCCGTATGAGTGAACGAAATAAGCTTCATCAGAATGTGTGTACAGCTGAAAGTTTGGGCACCCTTGGTCAAATGACATTTTGTTGATTTTCTTAGTGAAAAGTTTTCAGAAGCCCCAGTTTCACATGCTAACCCATTTTAGTGTGATCAGTGACCCACACTGATCACACTAAAATGGATCGCCCTATCTCATCTAATGGCAGATTTGAAAA